AAGTAAACAGCTAAAGACGCAAAAGTTATTGATTTTTCAGCATTGTTGAAGGAAGTATCTCTGTTGGTCTCAGTTTTTTGTAAGATTGCGATTGTACGGATATCACTAACACTGGCACGCTTTGCATGAAATATAGTCATTTTTGGCACTAATATAATGTCAATATTTTGATGAAAGTTTTCCGATTCTTCTTTTTGAGTATTAAGCAAATTCGGGCAGGCAATTGAGGACTTAGCTTGTTTAGATGAACACAAACTGCCACTGTCATCATTTTTGTGGGGTTTAGTCCATCATTGTCAAGGTCAAATGTCGTACGGATAGGGTGCAGAGCGTTATTACACCGTTAGCACACGATCAATGACCGTCCTCCATGTTTGCTTTTACGAAGACCAATGATCCCCATACTATCTTATTCCTGTCGACGAAAAAGGTCCATACTTCTGCCCTCATCACAAGTCAGCTCAGGAGCCCAACGCTATGTTCTTGAGCGTCCGGATTAATTGGATAATTCTAACCAACAACGGTCAGTTGGACTACCCTTTGAGTCGCGCTCTGACAATTAGTCCGGATTGAAAAATCTTCAATGGATCATAGTGACTATCCATGAGAAGAGTATAAGCACTTCCTTTAGTTATGAACGATACTTGCATCTATCATTACCGTTCACATTCGGTCTATTAGCATGCAGAGATTGGATCCATTTTTCCAACCCGCACTCTGCCTCGGCAGTCCGTTGCGTGTCCTGCCTATCCGTCCAAAATATAGTCAAACGTCTACGCCGTGCTGGGCCCTCATTTAATGCTGATGCGTCAGGAACTGATGATGTTTCGTTGCCTTGCCTTACCATCCTTCATTTTCTCGGGAAAGACAGTGTTATTCTGTAACTCCGTGAAATGGCCCGTCACTCGTTGCAGCACCCTTGCCCATCGTCCGTGTCACTGGATTGATCTCTGCCATTGCCTGGACTGTTGCGGATTCAGGCAAAAGGCTGAGAAGTCGGGATTGTTTAGGGTCGCGGACTACTGTCCCGAAGAACCTTATACAAAGAGTGTTGTTCAGATGACAGCTTGCACAACCGAAAATCTTGGAGACCTTTTTTTGTTGAGTGAACGAATCTACCAACGTTGGCTTGGATCAGTATACCTCTGCTATACGCGCACCTCAAGCCTACTATATGTTCGGAAATGAAAAGGAAAGAGGATATGCTGGTCTAGAACATAAATCTATTAATGCCGAATCTCGCGTGTTCCGTGTGTTTTGGCTCTACTCTGTAATGTTTAGCATGCATTTTTCCCATTCCTCCGGAGGTGTTTGTGATGTTGACTAATGTATAATATATTTGACTATCATTGGACGATCGCCTAGACTACGATAATTGGTATCGGCAAGTCCCCGCACTCTCCAAGGCATAATCCAGATGCACACAAAGAAAGTCTTCGCAACTGTCAGCACGGATTGCTAGGTAGCAATGCTTGTGCTCAGTCAACTAGATTCTAAGGTTTTGTTGGGGAAGATGGTTCATAGAAGATTGTGAGGATATCCACCAACATACAAGCATCACTTAGTTTTTATTATTCTGAATTTCTATGGGTTCGCGTCATGCGCAATGGGTCAGATGGAAGTTGGTCTCTTAGATATATCTAGGGTATGAATGATTCAATAACTCCTCCAATTCATATATTGCCCTTCTCGGAGAGGCTTCTCTTTATCTCTGATTTCGTCTCTGATAAAAGCGAGAAGGCATCCCACCAATCTTGGCCAAACACAAGTCCCTCACGTGTAGTACGACACCGGATGTGACTGAGAGACTTCTTCGAGGGAGAAGAAAGCCAAAAAGTTCCAATCATAAAGAGTGTTATGATATGTTGATCTGTCACTCTACAAAGGGCAGGAAACTCGATTCATAATAAGTATAGTTTAGTGAGCTCGCCTCAAAACTCTCATGAATCATCTGCAATTATCACAACCAGGAACAGTGGACCCAATGCCATTGTGCTTTCTTTTCTCGTTTTCTTCGCAACTCTCTCAATGTTAAGACCTTCACACCTTATCAAGTTCCGGGGTACCGCGAAAATGCCAAACTTACATTTTTCCTCCTTTTGATCTCGCGTCAGATAAGATCGGTCTCAACAAAAGATATGGTATTGTTACTATCCCAACTCATGTTCAGACAGCACACAACATATTGCTGAGTTCCAAAGTTGGTTCGGGACATGTTTTATCGTCTCTAGCGGAATTTCCAAAAGAACACTGTTCATTGCACTATTGATATTATTAGAACCGTGGTAAATTTTTTGTGGTTACTTTGGAAGAATACGACGCGTGCGCAAGAAAGAAGGCAAAGAACCAACATTACTCTCGGAGCAACAGATATACATATAAATATTGGTAGTCTACAAAATTGGAGCTTTAATTATTGAACCCGATTTGAGCGCAAACCAAACTCAAAATGAGGTTCTCTCTCAAACAGAATATACAAAGCATATGGGGTTATATATCAATAGGTTGCAACATGAGAATCAAAATAACTATACAAGTAATTCCTGAAGTTCGAAAACACTCGATGTGCTTATTTCTCTGGTGTCTCTTGAGCTCAAGAGTTCATTATCGAGGCCTTCCTGGCTAAACAAGTATATTTGTATAGCTTGATACACTCGTACTCCTGCGTGTGTGCTCATTGCCTCAATATATAGCCAGGTCACTTATTAGTGCCTCAAGACAAGGATGAGTGTTGATTGCAGTTCATACTTGTTGGCATCGTTGCTCCTGCGGCACGCAGTTTGTGTCTCGCGAGCCATACGGAGAGGATTGACGCGCGGCGCTCTGCAAATTTCACTCTTCTCAAAGAATGCTCGGAGTTACAGAAGCTCTGTGTTTGATGTTCGTAGTTAGCGTTGGCGCTCGTCGGGTGGCTGATACTTTACTTTTTCAACTAGAATTGTGGGATCGTATTGGAGTGAACTCTTGTTGTATCGGGACTCGCCGTTTAGTCTGTTTACCTTCTGGTGTAAGACAAGCATAATCACCATAGTGGTGTCCGCAGTTACCCCTTGTGGCGGTTGAGTGTGTTAGAATTCATGGTGGGGGAAGTATGCTGAGTTCTTGGAATCTGAACCCTTGTTTGTGTTTCAACTCGATGCTTTTCTTACTGTGCCATGCTCAGTTGTATTAATGTGTATCAAGTGACTTCGGAATTCTAATAGTTAGATATATGTGCTCAGCCACATACTAGTTTCCAGTGGAACGAGACTCATGTTATTGTCAGAGGATGGCTTTTATTAGTTTAGCAACGAAATCTTGCTGTATGTACTTTGACCGGAGTTGGCCCAATTGGCACGAGTAATTATAAGTATTAGGTGATCAACCTGGTCTTGACTTTTAGTAAAAGGTATAGACAATGTGTTTTATTCCCTCCCTTTTATGTGTCTTCTGGTTTCTCGTTCTACATGTGTGATTTTATATCTAATGCTATCTAAGGACTCGACACCTTCATATGTGTCTCTAATTGTCAAGTGATCTGTAGTATCTCCACTCACATTTATTATTTTTACCGGTAGCAGCAATACATTGATATGACATTGATATAGTAAAATTTACAACGTATTTTATTAGTGTAAAATATAAGCTCGAGACAAAATCAAAGCAAAAAATCGATTAAAAACATAGACTATCAATTGTGTGCAATTAGAGAATTAATAGCGTCACTCACCAGAATCCATTCCATAAAGTTCATAGGCTAGATATTGTGCTACTCAGAAAGCAAATAGAAATAAGTTAATCCCAACTAAGTTATATTACTAGGATATGATAAAGAAATAACGCTCGATAATTACGCGAAAAATATCAATGAGGTTATGGTTTCCAACAAACGGGAATTAAACTATAATAGAAATTTCAATTATGCAGAAATTATCGTTATTAAATGGAACAATAATACATTGAATATTTTTATCTGATACCATCAAAACCTGATTATCGATTTAAAAATTGAATTAAAACTCAATGTGACTTATTAAATATGGTATATGAAAAATCTTTTGACAAATATTTCTTTTGATCTTTGAAACTTCCATTTCCTGAGCAGGATGGCTGAATGATACTCTTAATTCTTATTTTCTGTTTGCTCAGTATAGATATGGATTATTTATTCAGACTCTAAAGTAATATGCCATAAATTTCGGATAATCGGAAATGCATTGGGCATATAGTATTGGTGATCTAGTAATCTTCTCAAATTAATAAATTTGTGGGCTCTCTCAATTATTAATAATTCTCTCACAATGCAGTCTTTGTTTGGTGGACATCAAACTTTAGGTGTCAGTGTGGTCTAGTAATAGATATACATTGTATTAGGTGATAATTAACTAAGAAGTTGGTATAGCCAGCCGCGGCATAAGTCATTTATAGATAAGCTGCGAAGACTTAAAGCGAAGATATGTTTGTGTGAAACGACAATGCAAATTAATCATTGCAGCAGAGGGATAAAAGAAGCACGATACGATCCAGCAAGCATTTAGCAGCATTGAGATTCTGGAGCGGTATCACATTCACGGGTGAATTCCACTTAATTCAAGGGGTGCTCATTGAAAACTTATTTCTCCAGGATTATATCCCGATTGCCAATTATCGGGTAGGCCCAAACACAAAAATTTTCGATGAAAAAATTCGAGTATCAATATAAACTAGTCCATGCATGCTTCCTTGATATTGTCCTTGCATTATCGATAAACTCGTGCTAAAACTAGTTGCATGCTATGTTTCTCACCGCAAATGGTGGACGGTGATGAATAAAGTAAATATGTTTTATACTTATTTACCGTGCGACAATCTAGATAACTCAAACTGTTTCTCCTCGTTAAGGATAAATATTAGCAATAAGATCTCAAATTTACCTTACTTCCCATGTCATTTTGTAATTACAGACGTGAGCTCGAAAAGCTTCGTGTTGCACACTGAATGTAGAAAGAATTGACAACATTGGTTTGAAGTTTCGAGTAATTTCAAATCCAGCTTAAAATCAATACATTATCTCTCTCGCGAGCCGGGCACACACTGACGGAATCAAATGCAGCTCGCGCAGACAGAAAAAATATTCGAAAGCAAGGCCATACAAAACATACGGAAATTGCGAAAATAAGCATGGCGGTTCCTACCAGGAACATATCTGTAAATTACAAGAATTAATCATAGTCAAATATAATTAGGCATAATTAGGATGAATATCACATGTAGATGTGGGTGCTTTACTTACCAATGGCTTCAATAAGAAGATGCACCATATGGCCTTGATCCGTCTTGTGTGACAAGGCATGGAAATACTGGAAATATGACTCTAGAACAATAAAGCAACCCTGCATTCATATAAACGTTGAACATAAGCACGTGTTGATTATGCTAAACTAGTTTTGATGTTCGATTCCCTTCAATGTAATCAAATAAAAAGGGAAAATGGAAATTTCACCTCTACAAAGCACAGTACTGAACCGAGTAAAGATCCCGCAACTGCAAGTAATGTAAAGAATCGACAGTCTATTATCCCCTGCACAAATGAAGTATGTATAACTAACTCATTCAAAATTTTTACCCTAGATCACCACATAAAATTAAACAACTTTTGACAAATGAAAACATGCATGTAACGGACGTATTTACCCTTTCAATGAACATCTGGACTTGCTGTCTCAAAGACTTTGGTCTGAGAGCCGTTCTCAGTAGAATGGGCAAAGCACGGTTGGCCCTTCCGACCAGGGAAGCCAATTCTACGAGTAATCCTCCCCGATTCTCGACTTGTGGTTCTGCCAACGTGGTTGCCGACGCCTTCACAGCTACTGCATGCATTTGCTTCCTCTCGTGACTATCATTATCGTTCCTAGTAAGTCCCTTCTCTCCGTTTATTCTTCTGCCCTTGCTCAAACACTTCAGGGCCGTTGATGGCGGAGAAGATGAAGAAGAAGAGGAGGAATGAAAAGTCATTGGCTTAAACGTGCGCATTAATCTAGTGGCTGCCATTGCTCCCTTTGATAACACCACTGAAACTTTCTGGTTGGTTTTGGTGGGGTTTATATATAAGTTTGTAGCTAGTGTGGTTCGTGGTGTGAAGGAAAACAGAAGATTCGTGGCATCTTAGCTGGTCTTTGTCTTTGCATGGAGTAACCATTTCGCTTTTTGCCTATTACTTGGCCAGGTTGGTTTTGAACTTTGAATTCTTCCCCAACAATTTGGACGTACCAAAACCAGTCAAAGACTATAATGTAATGGCTCACCGTCGGCAAGTGCTCTGCGTGTGGGCACCACTCCGATTCGAGGGGACCGGACACGTGTGGACCATGTTTCGTGGGATAATTTTCTCGCTGGGAATTTAGGAACGAGGATATTTTCTCCCTCGACGGCTTGTGGAACTTGGAAATTTGGAATTAGAAGGCACGATGCAAGTCGGATGGAAATTTTCTCGTGTTTCATATTCCATTTGCTTGTGTTGTGGGTTTCGACTTGTGCTTTTGGGCTTTCGGCTTTCGGCTTTTGGTGGATGGAACAGTAGGCGGACCATGCGCGCAAAAAGACGAAGCAAAAGCAACGGAAAGAAAGAGGTTACGTGGAAAGTCTCAGCGCCACATGAAACAGACAGCCAGAAAATTACCCGTCTGCGGCTCTGCCTTCAGAACATTCTGAAAATTACCGGCGGTAAATCTTTTATAACGTTACCTGGAGCTTAAGGCCCGAGCACAAGTAAAAGTTGCGAATACGACTCTCACCTCAATGCATTCCATGACATGCCGCCCAGTGCCATACGGAACATAAGAAAATCACAACAGATGCATTTGCAGTTGTGGAAACACAAAAAGGAACCAGAAATAAGGCGGAGACGCCGGAGAGGGGAACAGCGCAGACAAGCAAGCAAACCATGCATAGCCCGAAAGAAGCATGCCAGTTGCCTATAAGCCAAGACTTACATCATTTGGACTAAAACTACACAATAAACACTATTCACTGTTGTAACAACAAAAGCAGGAAATCAAATACGAGATAAACCAGAGTCACCAAAGTTAACGTCCAAAATTACTCAAATCCAATCATAGGAGAATCTCTAAAAATTTATTAATGTAAGCTTTAATTGAAGTACAAAACTTTGTTTCAGAACTTGGTAAACGTTACCGTTGCTCAATAGCCTTTATTCCCCCGAATCCTAGCCCTCATGTCAACCCGCCCTCTTTTGCAATTGAAATACTTTTCCATCAGACCAATACATTCGCTTGATATTAATGGACTCTTTTCCCCAGCGCACTCCCTATAAGACCGCTTCTCAACCTTAATGCAGTCACACTCACTTAGACACTTGACCAATTCCGTTGCTTGAACCTGCAATCGACTTAGATTGAACCTCATCTTCTTTCAACAACAACAACAACAAAGCCTTTTCCCACTAAGTGGGGTCGGCTATATGAATCCTAGAACGCCATTGCGCTCGGTTTTTTGTCATGTCCTCCGTTAGATCCAAGTACTCTAAGCCTTTTCTTAGAGTCTCTTCCAAAGTTTTCCTAGGTCTTCCTCTACCCCTTCGGCCCTGAACCTCTGTCCCGTAGTCACATCTTCGAACCGGAGCGTCAGTCGGCCTTCTTTGCACATGTCCAAATCACCGGAACCGAATTTCTCTCATCTTTCCTTCAATTTCGGCTACTCCTACTTTACCTCGGATATCCTCATTCTCAATCTTATCCTTTCTCGTGTGCCCACACATCCCACGAAGCATCCTCATCTCTGCTACACCCATTTTGTGTACGTGTTGATGTTTCACCGCCCAACATTCCCTTGAGCTTCAGTGGCCTACGACGGTCACACAACATGCTGGATGCACTCTTACACTTCATCCATCCAGCTCGTATTCTATGGTTGAGATCTCCATCTAATTCTCCGTTCTCTTGTAAGATAGATCCTAGGTAGCGAAAACGGTCGCTTTTTGTGATCTTCGCTAAATTGCTCCGGTCATTAGTGTGGATAAGTATATAAATGGATAGAGATAGGAAAGCAAACACAAGATGTACGTGGTTCACCCAGATTGGCTACGTCCACGGAATAGAAGAGTTCTCATTAATTGTGAAGGGTTTACACAAGTACATAGGTTCAAGCTCTCCTTTAGTGAGTACAAGTGAATGATTTAGTACAAATGACATTAGAGTACAAATGACATTAGGAAATATTGTGGGAGAATGATCTCGTAATCACGAAACTTCTAAGTATCGGAGTGTGGTATCATCTTGACTTGCCTTATCTGTCTCATAGGTAGATGTGGCAGCTTCTCTGGAAGTACTCTTCCTCCATCCAGGGGTGGTATCTTTAACTGGTGGAGATGCACAAGGTAATGTATCAATTTCACTTGAAGCTTACTTGTAGTTTCAGGCTTGGTCAAGCGCGATACAAACCATGTAGTAGGAGTCCCCCAAGTCGCCGAGCTAGGGGATTTGCTGAAAGAGGTGACAGACAAGGTAAGCAATCAGAGCTCCGGCTGATTGTTCACCTTCTCCCCATCTTGCAGCACCATGAAGGATAAAGAGAAGAAAAATGAGAAGAGATGATATGGGATACTTTTGCTTTTGAAGAAGTAACTTTCCACAGGCTTATTCTTGAACTGAGCTGGAGGGTTTTCTGGTTTCCTCCAGAGTATAAGGCCGACTGAAGAATTTGAGGGTCAAAACAAGTTCATCAAATCTAGAGTACGTTCGACCCTGCTGATATGGGATACTTTTGCTTTTGACAGAGTAATGGATGGATCGGCACGTGTGCTGTTACGCTTGTCTCCACATGCTTCCTTGTATCCTTCGCACTTGCCCTATCTGTTCCTCAAGCAGATGCGGTATCTTCCCTGGCAACATAAGATGTTGAAGATGAGTACTCGAGAGCAATGCCAGGTAAGTAATCAGGTAAGGGGTTCCAGGCTGTCAGTTCCTGGCTGGGAGCTTGATTTCAAGTGCTGACTGATTGCTCTCTTTCTCCTTGTCTTGCAGGTAAAAACAAGGCCAAAGGAAAAGACAGGGAAAAAGCATGATATGGGATACTCTTGCTTTTAACCCTGATGATATGAGATATTCTTGCTCTAGTATAGCTTGTTTGCAGAGGTATTATCGGGGGGAAAGAAAGCTGAATATTTCGAAAGGCTTCGTTGGGAGTGCCCTCTCAGATATGAGGAAGGGTTGAGCATTTTTGCAGGTCTGCCTGTCCGTTGGGGATGGAGGTCGACATATATAGGAGTCTCCCTAACAACAAGTAGTAATGCTATTCCTTTACCCTGCTTGGTCATAGCACGGTAGTGGGAGCTGCCAGCTTCACATGTTTTAACTCTGTCAGAGCACTTTGAAAAAGTGGTATGTGGTATCTGGCTCTCGAGATTCGGAGAACGATGCTTCTTCGATTTTTGAGAAAGCAATCCTGGTGGGGGTCTGGCTCTCGAGATTCGGGGAGCAGTGTCTCTTCGATTTTTGAGAAAGTAATCATGTTGGGAGTCTGGCTCTCGAGATTCGGAAGGCGCCTCTTCGATTTTGGAGTAAGCAATCTTGTTGGAAGTGTTTTCTCGGATGTGAGTAAAGGTTGGGCATGTTTGCTAGTCTACCTTGCCACGAAGCACGGAGGTTGACACACAGGGACTTTCCAATTATCCAGCAGTGGTACTGTTCCTTTACCCTTGTGGGTAATAATATGGTAGCTAGACCTTCAAAATTTATGTGTCTAAACTTTGTTAGTGCTGTTTCTTTGCTATTCTTTTACCTTTCTTGGTCAGAGCGATGTAGTGGGAGCTGCAAGCTTCACGTGCTCAACTTTGGCAGAGACTTTGACAAAGTTATCTGTGGTACCCATGAGCTATTGTTGCGTGTGGGAAGTGGGTGATTGAACAGTAAGATTCATGTGCTTTCTACTTCACCAGAAGTCTTCGACAGAATGCCCATAATTTCCGCAAAGCTGAGTGTGCGTGTGACAGGTGCTGACAAGGCTAGAAAAGAAGGTGCCTCTTCGATTTCTGAGATCGGCCCTCGTGGTCTCTGAGCAACCCAGCTTTTGAGAAAGCGAGCGCCTCTTCGATTGATTCGGAGAACGATGCCTCTTCGATTTTTGAGAAAGCAATCATGCTGGGGGTCTGGCTCTCGAGATTCGGGGAGCAGTGTCTCTTCGATTTTTGAGAAAGTAATCATGTTGGGAGTCTGGCTCTCAAGATTCGGAGGGCGGTGCCTCTTCGATTTTGGAACAAGAAACTTGTTGGGAGTGTTTTCTCGAATGTGAGTAAAGGTTGGGCATGTTTGCTAGTCTACCTTGCCACGAAGCACAGAGGTTGACACACAGGGACTTTCCAATTATCCAGCAATGGTACTGTTCCTTTACCCTCTCTTCGATTTTTGAGAAAGTAGTCATGTTGGGAGTCTGGCTCTCGAGATTCGGAGGACGGTGCCTCTTCAATTTTGGAGCAAGCAATCTTATTGGGAGTGTTTTCTCGAACGTGAGTAAAGGTTGGGCATGTTTGCTAGTCTACCTTGCCACGAGGCACAGAGGTTGACACACAGGGACTTTCCAATTATCCAACAGTGGTACTGTTCCTTTACCCTTGTGGGTAATAATATGGTAGCTAGACCTTCAAAATTTATGGGTTTAAACTTTGTTAGTGCTGTTTCTTTGCTATTCTTTTACCCTTCTTGGTCAGAGCGATGTAGTGGGAGCTGCAAGCTTCACGTGCTCAACTTTGGCAGAGAACTTTGGCAAAGTTATCTGTGGTACCCATGAGCTATTGCTGCGTGTGGAAAGTGGGTGATTGGACAGTAAGATTCATGTGTTTTCTACTTCCCCAGAAGTCTTCGACAGAATACCCATAATTTCCGCAAAGCTGAGTGTGCGTGTGACAGGTGCTGACAAGGCTGGAAAAGTAGGTGCCTCTTCGATTTCTGAGATCGGCCCTCGTGGTCTCTGAGGAGCCAAGCTTTTGAGGAAGCGAGCGCCTCTTCGATTTCTGAGATCGGCTTTCGTGGTCTTTGAGCAGCCCAACTTTTGAGAAAGCAAACACCTCTTCAA